CACATCAGCCGGGGAACCGAAACCTGGCAGGAAGCTGCAGGCGGTAGCTGAAGAGGAACCTGTGGAGAAAAATCAATCGATCTACCAATGGGTTGGTTGGTCTACCAATCAACCAACCAACCAACCAACCAACCAACCAACCAACCAAACAATTCAACCAACCAACCAACCAACCAACCAACCAACCAACCAAACAACCAATCAATCAAACAATCATCACTCTTACCGTTTCTGTCTGTACCGTTTCCTAAAAAGATAAGATGTACTTTACTCATAACAGCAGCATGTTAGAACAAGGCATACACATAATGTAATGATAAAATAAAAAGAGTAGAAAATAAACAAACATAAAATATAAACATCTCAAAATAGTAAATAAAAAGTTGAATATATATTTTTATGTTGACAGTGAAAGATACAAATCTGTAGACTATCAGTCAAACTATGAAAGGTCAACATTACAGCTAACAAAATGTAAAAGTAGGATATAACTCTCCCCTATATATTTAACTTTTCATCAGTTATAAAGCACCTGTAAAGTCTTCTTGTAGGGGGAAATTCCACAATGAATCACCTTCTGGTAAGAAACGAACAGATATACAAGTTTAAACCAATGTTGTGTTATTTAATGAAGAGTTAAAGCATTTAAAATCTATTCCAGCTGGAAGGACAGATAAATATGTAGTACAAGGAATCCAACAAGAAACCCAATAAATGTATACAGAGAGATAGGACAGAAAGGGGGGATGAAGGCAACTAGATCATTAACATCCTTATGTTTACATAACAGAAGGAAGCCAGACGTGTGTAGTGAAGTTGTGAAGAAGCCTCTGGGTCAAAAACAAGTTTGCAAAGACAAAATATAACTGAAATGATACGTCTCCTGGGTAGTTCTCACCTTCCACAGTGAGCCAGCTGCCCACAGACTCTCCCACCTCAGGGATGCTGCAGCTGTAGAGTCCTTCGTCAGATTTGGAAACCCTGCGGATGGTCATCTCTCCCGTGCGACTACTGGCGATGAAGAGGCCGTCTCTCTGGAAGTCGAAAGTGTGGGCGGAGGAAACCGACTCGGCCTGACAGTGCAGCGTCGCATCGGATCCTTCTGACAGCGGGAGGACAGGACATTTCAGGAGCACCGGGCGATCTGAGGAGGAGAGAGAGACGCCTTTTGAGACTTTTCTCTGGGGTTAACGTGAGTCTGCATGCCTTTATGACAGCAAGGCTACAGTCAGAGAGGGCCAAAGTACACATCCTTTACTCAAGTAGAAGTGCAGATACTCGTGTTTAAAAATACTCTGACTTGAGTAAAGAAGTTTAGTCAGAACTTATACTTTCACCAAAGTAAAGAGGCTTTGAAATGTACAAAGTAAAGAAGTGTGAGCTTTGAAATGTACTTCAGTAAAAAGTACCCATAACTAGCAGCTGTTTTAAAGAGTACCTGACCTCCCTTTATATTAATAGAACAATAATGTCATTGTTAGCTAATGAATGTTTCCATGCTGAACAACAGCAACATGACAACGTTTTCATTGGTCCCTCTTCTTTAGAGAAGACCAGGAAATGATGGATACACGGATCGTGTTCAAATCAATAGGCACGCAATGACTCTAAATAATAATGATCACGCCACCAAACACACATTCAGACTAAAGGAACCAGCCTGTTTGGAAAATGAGAGAAGTAGAAAGTACAGGTATTTGGGTTCAACATGTAAGAAGTAGAAAGTACAGGTATTTGAGTTCAACATGTAAGAAGTAGAAAGTACAGGTATTTGGGTTCAACATGTAAGAAGTAGAAAGTACAGGTATTAGAGTTCAACATGTAAGAAGTAGAAAGTCGTGGTGGAGGAAAGTACTGATACTAGAAAAATTTACTTAAGTACAGTAACAAAGTATTTGTACTCCACTACCCCCTCTGACTGTTTGTGGTGTTAATAGAGTTTTATTGGGGGTCCTCTGTACCTCGAAGCCGCTCTTCTTCAGGGCGCCGGCAGGACTTGAGGTAGGTGCGGATGCGTTTGCGGGATCGCCCCTCGAACTCGGGGAACTGCCGGCCGCACGACTCCAGGATGGCCTGGATCTTCTCCTTGGGCTGTTTGGGGATGGGCACCATGCGGTCCAGGTTCTCATCCACAAACAGACGCACA